GGGAAACTAAGACACCTACTTCACAGCCCTTCCTCGCATGGTGTTGGTGTAAGTTTGGACTAGAAAGTTAGGAAGCATCTTGAGAGGGAAACAGGGTTGTAGAACCATAATATTGCAGCAGCCACAGGGCGGCAGCATGAGGAAGGGGCTCTTCCCTCAGTTACTGCTTCCTTGGCTGTCTGGTAACCCGCACTCAGCCTCATCACACACCTCCCGTCCTCATCTCATTCTTGCGACAAGTCTCAGGCCACCCTAATACTCTAAGCAGCTTCTGGGAAAGTTGGGAGCAACAGCTTCAGCAAGAAGGTATTTCTAGGCTGTCGCGCCCCCTTCCTCCCACCCTGCCATCACTGTCGGGGGCGTGGGCTCCCGCTCTGCCCGAGAGAATGGAAGGCCTCTCCCTGCGCACTGGATGGGCACAGTGCTCTTCCGAGCCTAGACGCCCTCAGCTAAGGGGTCTCTGCCTGGGTCCCCTCAAGGTTGTGACGCAGACGCGAGGACTAGGACGCCCAGAGGCTGAAACTTGCCGACCTGTGTCTGGAAACCTTGTCCCTCCAATGTTATCCCTGACCTCTTGGCCCCATTTTCCGACCCCTTGGCCCCTGTGTCCCAGGGAGAGAGAGCAGGCCTGTTGGCCAGCAACCTGACCTGTGGGGTGAGTCTGGCTCTCTAGCTGGGAAAGGAGGACGCTGGCCTGTCTCAGAGTCTGGTCCCTTGAAGAGAAAGTGTCCAAGGTATTTTTGCTGAGACAGAACTCCAGGAACAGGCGCTCTGCTCTTACCTGGAGTGGCCCTGCCCTGGACCACGGGGTTGAGCAGTACCAGCAGTAACACCGTCAGAGCCGCTGCCCAGGGGCCCTCAGGCACCTGCAGGACCATCGTGGAGCTGAATAGGGTGGTAAAATGTGGAGAGTTGCAGTCAGGAAAAGAAGGACTCAGTAAATGGAGCTCCTGGCTCAAATATTAGAGACCATGAACCAAATAGTCTCATGTGATCCTGGGATTGGACAGACTCTGAGAAAGGAACCAATAGGCACTGAGCCTTGTGTGAGTCATCACTCACCGGGCAGACGGCTGGTGTGAAAGGTCTGACAATGTGAAGTGTGTGATGCAGGTCAGATGGCAGATGGAGGACAGTGATACTCATTTTATTAATAACAAGTGGGAAAGTCATGAGGATGTGGGAGATCCCGTGTTTCCTTGGCTCTGAAGGCGATCTCAAACATTCTGCTGGCCCAGCTGTGGGGACTGTCACTCCCCCAACCCTGTCCCACCTCACACACCCATAGGACATGGTGTGGGGTAGAACAAGTTCTATCTCAGGGTGTGAAGTGTCAATCAGTGGCATGATTTAAAGCGATTAGAGTGCCCATCCCAGAACTCAAAATGAGACCTGAAGTCTCTCTGCTGTGCCTTTGCTCAAGGGCATGTTTAGGATTAGCAGCCGTCCATGTGTTCTTTCTCTCCGAGGCCTGTTAGTCCTGAGATGTGCAGGGGACCTGAGGTCCTTCCATAGGGCTGTCATTAGGGTCAGCAGGGCTGAGTCTAGGGACCTTTCACCTGAGAGTATGGACATACTGGCTATACTACCAAATAAGAATGTAACTCTAAGTTCATTGTCTCTTTTGGCCTTCAATTCTTTGTCTTCAATTTGGGGATTATATAACCTGCCTTTATGGCAATGCATTTAAGGTCAAATTAGATAAACAGATCTGAAATTTCTTTGGAAAAGTAAAGTTCATAGAGAATGGAAATAGGCCCATAAAGGAGGAAGGAAAGGAAAAAATCATCAAAGACCCTACCTCCTCCAAAGCATGTGATTCTCTTGTATTAATAGTCAATATTTTTCTAAACTTTTGAAGAACATTACACGCTTATAAATGTGATTCTGTTGGATCACCAATTCTAATAAAGAAAATGTCAAACTGGCATCATTTCTTTATATAGATATTAAAATGTAAATAAAATGCTAGCATGTGAAATGGTAAGAAAAAAAGAATTATATAGCATAAGGTTTCAATTAGGAATGAAGAATGAATACAGAGTTATGGGGAAAAGCTCAGGTTCTTCAGTAAAATTGCCTGGGTTTGACTCCTCTCTTTGTCATTTACCTGCTATAGACAATTAGACAAATATAATGCTTAACTCCACAATGTCTCAGCTCATTTATTTTTCTTTACTTATTATTTTTATTTTTTAGAGATAAGGTCTCCCTCTATCACCCAGGCTGAAGTGTAGTGTTGTCATCATAGCTCACTGTAATCTCAAACTCCTGGGCTTAAGTGATCCTCCCACTTGAGCCTCCTGAATAGCTGGGACTACAGGCACTCATCACCACCCCAGCTAGTGGTGTGAATTTTTTGTAGAGATGAGGATCTTCCTATGCTTCCCAGGCTGGTCTAGAACTCCTGGGCTCAAGTGACCCTTCCATCTTGGCCTCCCAAAGTGCTGGGATTACAGGTATGAGCCACTGTGCCTGGCCTGTAATTTATCTTTAGAATGGACATTAATAATATTACAAAGGTATCCAGGAATAGAAAAATACTTAAACATAAACTTCATTCAAGTTAATTAAAACCCACGAGTTGAAACTATAAAACTTCTACATAAAAGAATAAATAAGAGTAGATTTCTCAGGCAGGTGGGCCCGAATAAAGATCAGTTATATTTTCAATCAGCTAATGCATTTATCCTTAAATACCAGCAGAATATTTTTATAACTTGAAGAAATAACTTTAAAACCATTTAGAAAAAAACAGTGGGCAAAAACATCAAAGATCATCTGAACGTTGAGGATGGGGGTGGGTGTGAGGAATGAAGGGAATTATATAAAACATTTGGCATCAGAAGAATGTGTGACCTGTCTTGTTGAGCCTCTTTCTCTAACTCTCAAAATGAACTACGAATCAGGGTTCCCTTGGCCATGCTGGTCCTTGAAAATTCACCTATCTCGTCCCCAGCCCTTCCAGTGTTCGCTCTACCCAGCAACAGAGAATGTCAGTTCTGTTACTTCTCTGATTGGTTAAGCCTAGCCATGCTGATTCCTCTCCACCCAGTTTGGCCGTTTTCAGGTGATAGAAGCCCATAATTTCAGAGCTCTTGTCTGCCCCCAGCCTGCCTCAGTTCCTCATTACTGTTCCTCTGCTCACAGTCGTCAACTGCAGAGCCCACAACGTGTTCCCTGAAGAGAGAATGGTCCAGAGCAGAGCTGTGATCCTCGGAGCCCTCTCCTTGGCTTTCGCGCTGCGTCTGCAAGGAGCTGGGGCCATCGAGGGTGAGTGCCAGGGGGATGTGAGAGCATCGGGCGAGAGGTGGGGGCAGGCTACTCTGAACTGTTTCAGGAATTAGAGATTTTAGGGACTTGTTGATGTATTTCCTCTATGTCCTTTTTCTCTCTTCTTTCCCTAGTGTGGGGTTCACTGTTGGTCCTTTTCGCTCTAATGATAATAATAGCAATAGCAGCCACAATTTACTAGACACCTGTTTAATTTCTTTCTGATTTACATTTCACAAGGACCTTCAGTGAAGATATTATTACCTCCATTTTAGAGGTGAAAAAACTGAAGGTCAAAAAGATTAATGTATTTGCTAAGGTTACACACCAAGTTGAAGAGCCAAGGTTTAAGTCCAGACCCAATTCTGATGATCATACTCCCCAGACTTCTGCACACAGTGACTGTCTAGCTGAGCCCTGCAGGGACCCCACACCCCTCGTATCTCTCCTGGATCCCCAGCCTCTGCTCTGTGTGGCTGCTTCTGAGGGACCCAGAGTCGTGGGCTCCGTGTGCTGGAAGCTAGCAGAGCAAGTGCCAAGAGTGTTCCTGTATTCCCCCTGTCGCCCAGGACCGAGGACCCTTCCCTGGTCTTTGTGGGTGGTCCACAAGCTTCCTTTGTCAGGACAGCAGTGCTGCATGTTTTTGTTCACCTTGTGATTCAGGTCTTGAAGACCCAGGGGACCACTGGGAGCCCAGACTTTGATAACCACAAGGACTCAGCCAGGGATTATAAATGGTGATGAATACATTTTCTTCCGTGGCGGACATCAGGGGGCATCAAGCCTGGGCATGATATTGCCATCCAAAAATCTAGTGATGTGAAGGATTAGAATTTAAAACATAAAAGATGCACCCTGGCCCCCAAGCAGCTTTATTTAAGGTGTGGGGTCCCAGGGTGTGCAGAAGTAAAGAGGAGGTGAGGGAGAACCGGAAGTACCTGCCTATTGCCCTGATGGTCACTTTGTATTACAATATACACGGTAAAGAATATATCGTCACATCCTTGGTAGATACTACTAATTAACTCAGCTGTATCTGTAGTGCTTCCCTCCCTACTCGTTCCTTCTCTCTCAACACATAAACATATTCTTTATCGTAAAAACATAAATATAAACCAACCAATACAAAACAACTTTGCCTTCACGCTGCATCCTACCCTCGTAGCTAAGCTTCTGATTTTTGTCTCCAATACAGTACTGAGCATACTCATGTCTTAGCTGTCAGGAACCTCTACGTAAGATCAAATCCAGTGGGTACTTCATGTCTCTCTGACTTCAGTTCTTGATAATATCTGCACTGTAATCCACTTTTTTTCTGGTTTCTTATTGGAACTTTTTTTTTAAGATCCTCCTTTAACTTGCTCTATCCTTATTTTTCTCATATTTTTCTGGATCCCCTTACTCTCCTTTGAAAATGCCCCTTAATTATCATGTTCCCCAGAGCTATACCCGCAGCTCTCTGCGAGTCTTATTTTTTGCAGTCTTCCTGGAAAAACTCATCCAGCCTTCACCTGCCACTGATGGCTCTCAGTTCTCTGGGCCAAACCCCTCTTCTGAGCTTAACCATCAGATACAACTGTCTATGTGTCATTTCTACTTAGATGACTTTTGAGTATTCTGAATGCAGTATGTCCCACACTGAACCCAACATCTCCCAATGCCACTATCTTCCTTTATTATCCTTTTAAATTAATGGAATCAAGATGATTGCATTGGGTTGGGGAGATGGATACAAAGGATACAAATGTATCGAAGGATACAAAATTTCATTTAGATAGGAGCAATAAGTTCAAGAGTTCTATTGTACAACATGGTGACTATAGCTAATAACAATGTATTGTAGTCTCGAAAATCACTGAGAGAGTGGATTTTAAATGTTTCACCACAAAAAATAGCTGTGAGGTAATGTATATGTTAATTAGCTTGATTTAGCCATTCCATGATGTATACATATTTCAAAACATGTTGTACACAATAAATATGCACAATTTTTGTCCAATAAAAATAATTTAGAAAAGTGATGAGAGAGAGAGGGAGAGAGAGAGAGAAATGATTGCATTGGCCAGTGTAGGGCTGCAAACTCACAGGGAAATCCATGAGTCAGCTGGTTAGACTAGATGAGCCCTGAAGTCCCTTTGCACTCTTATTCATCTGTCATTCTAAACCAGAAGCTCCATATATTCATTGCTTTATTTAACGATGGTATTTGCTTTTATCCTCTTATGTTTGCTGCTTCTTGCAAACTAATAAAGACTAAGAAAAAAATAAATTAAATCCCACAGGTGTTTCAAACTCTGCAACAATTTGTAGTTCCATCAAAAACGAAATAAAAACATAAATTAAGAAACAAGTTTGGAACCAATGCCAAAATAACTGAGTATAGTAATTAAAGGGTATAGTAATACTCTTTAATATGCCTAAAATGAAAATTATTATCAACAAAGCCACACACGCTACAGTTTCATGTTCATAGATGAAAACAGAAATTTAAAGACTGTAAAGAGGATGAAAATTTGAAGGATGTTTTCTTCTCCCTGACAATTTTCTATTTTTTCTCCCTTTTCTGTAAGAAGAAAATAAAATTTTTGCCTCCCCTGCTCCTATAACTCTACAGATAATTTTATACCTGTGGTCCTAGAAGAATTGAGATCTTATGGGGAGACAAAAACTTCTCTATTAGTTCCACCAATAGCTGTGTAAACTCATGCAGGTTGCTTAATCTCTCTGCATTTCCTGAGCTGTAAAACAGTATGTTACGTGTTTGCTTCATAGGGTTATTGTGACAATTGAATAAATGAAATATGTGAAGTATTTAGAACAACGCCGGGCACATAGTAAGTGTTCAACAACAAATGCTACTTGTTATTGTTATTATTACTATTTCAGGGCAGTCAGGATGCCCAGACTTCCAAAGACCAGGAAGCAGCTTGACTTCTCTATGATATTATTCTCATTTTGTTCCTCCCTCATTTCCTTATAACTGCTCTTGTCTGTTCTGCATCGTTTCCTTTTTGGTGTTACTCCTTCCCGATATGTCCTTCCTTTGACCTCTTTCCTTCTGCCTTTGTATGTGCATAAATCTTTATTCATTCTCTGGCCTCCACCACTTACATATTCATACTTATGTTTTGCTACGTTTTTCTCTGCTTTCTCTATGCAGCCGACCATGTGTCAACTTACGCTGCGTTTGTACAGAAGCATAGCCCGTTAGGAGAGTATATGTTTGAGTTCGATGAGGATGAGAAGTTCTACGTGGATCTGGACAAGAAGGAGACCGTCTGGCGTCTGCCGGTGTTTGCCCAAGCCTTTTCCTTCGAGGCTCAGGGTGGGCTGGCTAACATCGCCATATTGAACAACAACTTGAATATCATGATCCAGCGTTCCAACCACACCCAGGACACCAATGGTACTGCCTGTCTTTGCTTCTTCCTCTATAGCCCAACTGGGAAGGGATGGGAGGGCCCCCCTGCCACAGCCAGAGTGGGAGAACCAGAGGCCTGCTGCTGGGCGGTCCTCTTCCCCTGAGTGGCCACGGGCTTACTCCAGTGCAGCCGAGGGCTTCATTGTTCCTTCTCGCGCTGGAGAAAGCTGAGCTGAGTGAGGTCGGCCGGTGGGGTGGGACTCCCGGCTCCGATTCAGGAACCCAGAGGTACCGTGAGGTCTGAGCCTGACGTGGACAGCACTCCGGAGGTGCAGCCTCTGTGCTTCATCCCAGAACAGGCGACTCACCGGGTCCTGTTTTCTCCCAGAGCCTCCGGAGGTGACTGTGTTTCCCAAGGAGCCTGTGGAGCTGGGCCAGCCCAACACCCTCATCTGCCACATCGACAAGTTCTTCCCGCCAGTGCTTAACGCCACGTGGCTGCGCAATGGCCAGCCGGTCACCGAGGGCGTCGCTGAGAGCCTCTTCCTGCCCAGAACAGACTACAACTTCTACAAGTTCCACTACCTGACCTTCGTGCCCTCGGCCGAGGACGTCTATGACTGCAAGGTGGAGCACTGGGGCCTGGACGAGCCATTCCTCAGGCACTGGGGTACGGAGCCCATTCTCCTCTCCCTAATCTCCCTGGCACCCTCTGCTCCCAGGACCGGGTGCCCTCTGCACCAGCTTTCCCCACCCGCCGGCCTCAGTGCATCTCCTTCGACCCCCAGCACAGCCCAGGCCGGCCCCGCCCTCACTGCACCTTCTGACCCCGCCCCCTTCGTTGTTCCGCAGAGGCCCAGGAGCCCGTCCAGGTGCCTGAGACGACGGAGACCGTGCTCTGTGCCCTGGGCCTGGTGCTGGGCCTGGTGGGCATCATCGCTGGCACGGTCCTCATCGTAAAGGCTCTGCGTTCCGGTCGTGACCCCCGTGCCCAGGGGCCCCTGTGAGGTATTGTGGAGACGGGATCTTAGGATACAGTCAGAGGAAAAGAGGAGGGAGCCTAGGATCTGTGCTACACGAGGGAGGGAGGAAACACTCAGTTTGATAAGTGTACGTTGATCTCTTAATGGGTTAAAAGCACTGAGCTGCGTAACAACAACACTGGTAATTTGCTGAGCACTTAATATGCTCAGGCACTATTCTGAGAACTTACACTTACTAACTCATTTCATCCTGACAAATTCTCTATGAGGTAGGTACTATTATTGTCGCCGTTTTGCATGAGCGATACTTAAATCTTTGTACATACACAGAGACATTAAGCAACTTGGCCAAGGTCACATGGCTAGGAAGTAGTGGAGTTAGTGTTCCAATCCAGAAAGTCTGGATCCAAGATTGTTTGCTTAACAACTGCCCTATACATTTGGTCTTATATAAAGAAAAAGAGCAAGTCCAAACTCGCCAAGAGCTCAGAGTCTAGTCGTGAAGCCAGATCCATATTTCTGTACTTAATCACAGTGTGCTAGGTGCCTACGAACTGCTGTCTCTGCTTGGACTCGCTGAATGGCAAAGCTCATACAAAAATGCCCCTTCTGGGACCCTACAGTTTTCTATTTAACATAAAGCTTACCATGTTTTATATATTTATATGTCTCAGTAATTCTCTTCCCATTAACTAGTGATCTTCCGTGCGAGTGACCACATCTAATTCATTATCATTATTATCATTATTTGTGCTGGACCGCAGGCGCAAAAGGTTAAGTCTGTCATGCTCCTCAGTTCATGCATCCCATCATCATTGGTTCCACCAGGTTTTCTCTATTGATTTGTTTGTTCCCTTCTAGCCCTAGTCTTTATTTCCATATTTAACCTCTTATTCCCACCCCCTGGTTAAACATCCATCCATTCTGATGGATTTGATGAGTTTCCTTTTATTTGCATGTATCCTGTATAACATGTAGTGTTGATTAGTGTGCATGTATTTTTAATTAATGAAAATGGAATTATATCATAGATCTAATGTGTACCTCTATCCATTGCTTCCAACTGTTCCATAGTGACTCTGTACTTCCACCTATTTATGTCCCCTTGGGATACCTGGATTACCTCTGGCTCTCCACTGTTGCAAGCAGTCCTTGCATTCCCATGTGGACTTGCATGTGCCCATGGACCTGTATCCCTGGAATGTATGTGCCCTAGGAAGGGGTTGCAGGGTCACTGAGGATGTAACTCCTTAATTTGACTAAGTACTGCCCATCTGTACACCAGAATGGCTGTGCTAATCTGTATTTCCTTTAGCAGCACCCAAAATTTTCTACAACCCTTAAATTCACATCAACACTAGACATTATCCAATTTTCTAATTTTTGCCAGTTTCATGTTCATAAAGAAATATGCTGTTTTATTTTGCATTTCTTTTCTTTCTTTTTTGGGGGGAGATAGAGTCTCACTCTGTCACCCTAACTAAAGGGCAGTGGCATCATCATAGCTCACAGCAACCTCAAACTCCTGGGCTCAAGTGATCCTCCTGCCTCAGCCTCCCAAGTAGCTGGGA